GATATAAAGAGTTGCCTTTTAATGCGGGAAATGTAAAATATTAAAGACTTTGTTAGTATCTTTGCTTCCCCCTTGAACCTCTTTTGAGTCTAAACAGCCATTACAATACATTTTCGTCTATTAGCCTTGGTAAGTGTTGATAATTAAATATGAAAAAAAAAACATGGATGGAAATATGTTTAAATGTCCAAAAACACTGCTGCGGCACAACACGGCACAACATCGTCATCATGTGAATTCAATTTATGCAATAAATCCTGCAACTTCCAGCACATTCGATCTGCATCAATCTCCAAAGAATTGCCTTCAGACATTTGCAAACACAGTTCATATGCAAACAGATAAACATGTACAAACACATATGCGTACAGACAAAGACATGCAATCTCCCCCAGACACACGCACACTCAAATATCCGTCTCTTCCCTCTCTTGGGATCTCGTCACCATAAGTAATGTGCAGTTTGCTATGAGGCCCCGCTGCAGGTTGAGTCACGCAACAGGAGGCAGCACATCACTACGGTCAATCTAACCTTTTGTTTCCTGTCCCACTGAGAAGCCTGACACGTTAACAGAAGCATCAGTGGATCGCTTCTGCACTCCGAATGAAGATCCGTGTAGTTTTTGTGCCATAATCTCTGTCGTAATTTACTGCTTGACCGAGAGCCATGGGAATTTTGCGTGGGGGCAATGACGACGTAATGCCCGAGCAATTCCCATGTAGCATATGGTTACGTGCGTTTAAATGAGTCACACAAACGGCTTGTCACATGCTGTTTGTTACTCCACGCGAAATAAATGCCCTCGTAAAACGTGCTGTTAAAAACCTGATTAAAGGTCTCGGGTCAAGTGAGTGCTGAACAGACCTCCTATGTTCTCTGATAAATGTCGACAGGCTTGACGCCTTCTCGCTCTCTACTTCTCGCTTTCTCGTGCTTTCGGACGGAGGTCCGACCACACACAGAAGCACACTTCCCTTGGATGCTCAAGCCGCCAACATGTGAGAGTCCCCACCTAATTCATCAGCTCTGACACTCCTGTCTCACCCATATGTCACGCAACAGCACAGCCCTGCAAAGAAGGCAGGACCAAAGGGCAAAGGGCGCACATGCAAACAAAATCCCCCCACGTCCCATATTTCCAATCACTAATTCAGAAGCAAATGTATGCAAACCAGAGCATGGCAGGAAAGTAAGTGCCAACCAAAGGGTAAAATATGGCACATAGTGTGGTAACAGTTGATATTAATACAACTGCTTTGGTGCTGTATTTACAGATGTAGCATGTTAAATGTTCCACATGATCGCCACACATACAGACAACACCCATGTGGTTTCTTACTTCCAGGAGGAGGCTGCTTTCATTCACGCCTGTGCCCAGTGGAAGGCTCTCTTTCCTGGGTTCAGGGTTAGAGGATGCTGTGCTCATGATGTGCTTCCTGCTGGTCTTGTCTTGGCTCGCTGTAAAAAAAAAGAAAAGAAAATAGGTAAACCGGTTGGCACGACGGACTCGGTTTTGTTTAAAACAATAATCCAAAAGCCACCGGCCGGTTTGAGAATGTTAAAAATGAGAACAGAAGAGGTGGAAAGAACATCCCCAAACAAAACGAGAAGATCACACACGCTGGATACAGCCCTGATTTAAATGTATCCTTATAGGGTTATGCGCTCATATGTGCTGTTGAAGGTCTGAATTCTTAACCTAATTCAATGCACATTCAGAATACAGAGCATACAACAAGGCCTGTGTCAAAACAGGAAACAGTTGACTTTAATAACAATAATAATTCTGTTTTCTCTGATATGGCAGCGAGAGAACACGACTGGCACTCAGACATGTGGCCGACACATTAACTGTATTGCTCTCCCTTTCTTAGGCGCTGCACTAATGCCAGGTATTACTCTGCGTGGTTGGCTGGTCTTACAAGACAAAACACTGGAAGATTTCATGACTTTAGAGGATTTCTTACACACGATACAGCCACATGCACATGCGAATCTCACTGGGCTACAGAAAGCTGGGCCAAAAAAAATTGAATGCTTTAGCGACATTTGAATGGGAAGTGGTTAACCAGACATAGAGCATTCACTTGTGGATGCTCATGCTTTCTGCTTTTACTGAACTGTGCAACAGGTTCTCAGTCAACAATAACAAATATACTCAGCTGCTAAAATAAGAACATCTTGTCTAAGCAACCCCCTGAATAAAGCATCATAGTATTTTTTTTTAAGTTGACTTATACAGTTGCAGTTGTGGAGTTTTATACATTAAAGCTGATTTGTACTACATCACGAGATATAACACAATTACATTTTGCACTATTTCACATGTTATAACATAGAGACACAATATGACAAAGTCCTTTGTGCACGAAAGTGTCGTTGACGAATAAGTAAAAGCCTTCTGGTTCCAGTGACTAACTAAGCCTGACCTCTGGCCTCTCTGTGGATCACAAAGAGGGCTCCTACAGGCCGACAATGTAATGAGCGGCCATTCAAATCTCTCGCTACACTGTCTCGTATCTAAGCACAGTTTTAACCTGGGTCTTCAAAGGTGAAATATGCCACCTGCATGCTTAAGCCCATGCAATTAGCTTACATGACTGTGGCATGTCGATTCGTCACATGTGCACACGTGGTGACGTATGCATTGCGTGTCGAAGGCATGTTTGCGTGTTTCTCTCACAGGCGTGCTGTCAGGGAGCATGCAGCTCACTCCGAGTGACCGGCCCTTCACTCCATCATTCATTGTAGCAGGCACGGATTAGTCACGCCACATGCACACACACACACACACACACTGAGAGCATATAAATCTATACATCTACTGATGCTTCGTATAGCTCCCACCCCCACTGAATAACCTCATCACAGCTTCCATCCTCCCCTCTCCACCCCATTCGCGCTCCTTCAACTGCCCTCCTCCTCTCTCCACCCTACCTTTGTTTCAGTCCATCGACGACTGATTTCACGGATTTTGTTGGAACAGTTTGCGTTCTCTTGAATCCACACTGAAGCTTGCAAACCCTTTTTTTCTGCGCCCGTACAGTTTGTCAGGATGAATTTCTTTCACGTGCAATAATTCATTCCCCCAGTTGGAAAAGTAGGTTTATTCAAGCTGTACGAGGAAATAAATGCCCTAACGTGTGCAAGCGCAACAGCTTTGACAGACAGCTACATTTAAAAAAAAGCCAGTAATAATGTTAAGTATTTTGTCATCACCTCTGCAGGTGCAAATGCATGCAAACAAACAGACTCAGTCACAGACACGCGAACACACACAAAACCCATTCTGTCCAATCACCGCAACATCATCCAACCAGTGGAAACCACTGCAGAGGGAAATGAATCTAATAACCGTCTTTATTTTCCTCCTTCAACGCCTGGTGCATTTTTTTGTTTTCTCTCTTACGGCAGCTTTTTGGAGAGGATGCAGCGTCAGGAAAGACAAACATACGGGATGATTAATTATCGGCACCGGCACTTCCTCTGCCAACAATACGGGCTTTATTCATCGCCGCTCATGTCTTCGGGTTTGCTTTTCTTTGCCTCTATTTTCTCCCTCTCTGGTCGAAAAAGGAAAACAGAGTAGGTAATGGTGAGGCGTTTATGTGCTCCGCGTGAGGACAGGGTGTTAAGTAAAAAGTGACAAGTAGCGGGATGTAGATGGTGCCAAAGGGTGAGGCTGAAAGTATTTAGCTCCTTTTTAGTCAGCACCGTCTGTCTTTTCACTTTCACTGAGAATCTCAGGACCACCCGCCAAACACCGAGCATAACACAGCGTGACTTCATTTTCACAGTCTAAGGTGCAATTGTCTCAGCACTTCAATCACCAAACAGAACTTCTGGGATGACTGACGAGAGGAGCTTATAGTGATATTAGATGCGTTGATTTGTCGTAATAAAATAACATTATGAGAAGCGCTGTAATTCAGAGGGAGCCAAAGGACTTTCACAAAACTTTGAACAACCTGCTGGATGCCGCCTGTAAGCAGAGCAGAGCCCTGTGTGAAGCAGGTATTAACTTAAACGGCCTCTAGGGGGTGAGGTGAGGTTTGGCACTGTAGCAGACGGATGTGTAGAGCACAGGCTCGGTTTGTTTGTCTGTTTTCAACTGCTTCTCCTCTAAAGCCACTTCCTCCTGTAACACCACCAAGAACACCTTAAAAAAAACAAAACAAAAGAAAAAAAAGAACGAACAAAAAGAGAGAGAAAACAGAAAAGAGATAAAAGAAGAGGCCGCATCCAATAAGAAGAAAAGACAGGGAGAGTCAGTTGTTTCAGCAGAGGGGTGTAACGTTTCTGGGGCTTGACATGCTTTTTTTAAAAAAAAATAATGGGGATAAAAGACAAAAAAAATAGTTACAAATTGATGCCAAATGCTGAATGCAGGAATCAAAGATGTCACGACATTATGCTTAAACATAATGCTGCAGATGAGTTTTTATGACTATGCAAATTTATGAATTGCTTCAAGTCATGCACAAGGGTTGGTCTACTTTTAACATCATGTTCCTAAACAGAGCAATGCGCAGTGAGGAGCGAGTAAGTGCTTTTACACGGCTCATAGACATGAAACCAGCAGGCATCCTGCTCCAAGCTGAGTCAGTAAGGTGGTTATAGCTGCTGTTTCTGTAGTTTTTCACTATGTTACATTTAAAGTAAATGTTAGTAGAAGTTGGTCCAGTCAATTTTAGCGTTACGTTAAAACTGTTGTAGGTAACATTATACACAACTGTTAAAATTAGCTTGACTAACTATCTACAGTAGATGAACTACATCTGAGAGTCTATAAAAATCCAGCAAAGATCTGACACAAGACGTAAGACGTGTATCTGGCCCTTCATTAAAAAGGGTTTCAGTGGAGGGGCGGATGTCAAGAAGCCATTCTTAATGACAGAAAACAGGGAGAATACACAATAGCTGGACTGAAAACCAGTGGCAACAGATCTGATGGGAGTGATGAATTCGTGGTTTAAATCTCTGTTTCAAACTGTCATCAATATATACGCAGGAAGTCGGGAGAGATGTACAACGCTGAGTTTTTTCAGCCATCTGCAAAGCACGGCAGAGGTGCTGTCATGATTTGGGCCTGCATTTCAGCCACAGGTGTTTGAGATCTTTTGAGACCACTGTGCCACGCCATCTGGAGAGCATGTGATCTGCAACAGTTTCATTTTTCAGTATGACAATGATCCGAAACACACCGTCAATGCAGCAAAAGCATACCAGGATAGAAAAACACACAGTGAAACACTATCACGCACAAGGCCTCCCAAAAGCCTGGAGCTCAACATTATTGAAGCAGTGTGGGATCATCTTGATAGAGAACAGAACAAAAAGCAGTCAAGGTCCAAAGAAGAAGAAGCCTGGAGAACTATTCCTTAAGACTACTTTACATTAAAGAAATTACAAGAAAGCTAAGAGGGTTCAGATTGTGTTGAAGAATAACTGTGGTCATACCAAATATTGACTTTATAGCCAGTATTTTTGCACATTTCACTAAATCACTGCACCTAGCAAAGTATATATACACTTTAAACGAGAGATACTAAAAATATTTATTCATTATTTATAATGAATGAAAAAAAAAACCCAAGAAACTCCCAGCAAACATCACTGAAAGGTAATTTCAGATTAACATCATCATCTATCAGATAAAATCTCATTTCTGGTGAATGGCAGGGACACCTACACCCATTCATCTCTGTGCGCCCCTCATTGGAGTAGCAGGGGTGCCATCTTTTGGCAGCTGATCCACGGCTGTGCCAAGAAGAGCTCCAGACATGAACATGGGAGCGCAGTACAGCACAGCAGTTCTTCCCCTCCCACAAGGCTTGCGTGAGTAGAGAAAACTATGTGTGTGTGTGTTTTCATATGTGTGTGTGGAGGCTGGGTTGGCTCACTGCCACCTCCTTTGCCTATTCCCGCCCCCTTCCCTTAGCACTCTTCTCTCTCTCTCTCACTGCCGGCACAGGAAATCCACAGCAGAGAGAGCAATACTAACAGAGAGAGAGGCAGCACGAGAGAGAGAAAGAGAGGAGCTGGCTGATCAAGGGCTGGTTGTCACGCGAGCGAGCCGTCTGTCAATCTCCCCCCCTTCCTCCTGACAGGCTGCTGGCGGACAGCCAAGGCCTTGCGTGCAAGCCGACGAGCCACATTAGCCCATAAAGAATTTCATAATAGCAACAGCTGTTAAATATTGATGACTGCTGGCAAGCGCTCAATGGCGCTCTGCAAAAAGGTTAAGCCTCCTCTGTAATGGAAGCTAATACTTCATTATGCCAGACATCAAATGTCCGGATCTCGCCTCGTCCAAATTTGAACTTTTTTTTTTTCTTGTTTTCGCAATAAAAAAAAAAAACACAAAAAAGGATTTACAGCTAGAGAAGTTTGGGGCATTTCCCTGCTGTTCTAAAGACAAACAGAAGCAGACTTTTCCACTGCTTTTAACTCCAGCA